CGCAACTTTCCCCCCCCCCCCTTCAATCTCAAATTTTCATTATTTTACACAATCCCTACCTACTAATTTTTTAAAATCGCCTCACCATCTCACATTGGTAGAGGCGCCTTTCCCTTAGAGTACCCCTTGCAACTTTCAATCCCCCCCTTCAATCTCAAATTTCAGTTTTAAATACCTCTCGCAATTTAAAAGCATTTTAAATCCCCTCCCATTACTCCAAAATTTTTCTTTCTTTCAAAATTCCCCACCAACTAAATTATATTACCGATCTTAATACCTCTCGTAACTAACTAAAAAAAAAAAAAAAAAAAAAAAAAAAAAAAAACCCTCCACAGAAAAACCTTTTTCCCCTTGAATAAACGCTCCATAACTGAAAACCTAATAATTTAATAATTCATTCCCTTTTTATCAACTACTTTTTCTTTCTATTTTATTTTTAACTTTTATTTTTATCCCTTCAAAATATTTGTAAAATAGCCAAAAATTATTCAAAGCCGGCTGTTCTACATAATCTTGTATCCTTCTTTTTATCTCTATATTTTAATTTATTTTACTTTTTCTTCTAAAAGTTTTGTAAAATAGCCGAAATTTATTCAAAGCCGGCTGTTCTACATACTTTTCTTTACTTCTTTTCATCTCTATATTTTAATTTAATTTTTTTTTCTCTTCTCAAAATTTTGTAAAATAGCCACCTCACCTGGGTTTATGGGAAAGTTGGTTCTGTTCCAAACAGAACGCGACAAGTACTGTCCATGATTTTCTTGATTATTAATTTAATCCTGAAATAGACGAAACTAGCCCCGAGCCAGCTATCTTACACAATTTTTTTTCTCTCTTTCCTCCTTTCTTACTCCTCACTTCTTTAATTTTACACCTTGTAACTTTCATTAATCTACTACTAAATTACCAACAGTATACTGACCAATTTTAATTTACTTTTTTTTCATTTCTCGGAACTTTGTAAAATAGCCACCTCACCTGGGTTTATGGGAAAATTGGTTCTTCTCCAAGCAGAACACGACAAGTACTGTCCACGATTTTCTTGATTATTAATTTAATCCTGAAATAGACGAAACTAGCCCCGAGCCAGCTATTTTGCACACTTCTTTTTCTCAACTCACACATTTTAACTACTACCAAGACGAACAAAGGTATACTACGTTGGTTGACAGTAACCCTTAGCTGGAGTTCGTTAACCAAACTACCCAAGTTCAGACATTTTAACTACTACCAAGACGAACAAAGGTATACTACGTTGGTTAACAGTTACCCTTAGCTGGCGTTCATTAGCCAAACTACCTGAGTTCAGACATTTACAACTATCACTGACGAACCAAGATATATCATTTTGGTTGAAAGTATCCCTTAGCTGGCGTTCACTTGACCAAACTACCTGAGTTCAGACATTTACAACTATCACTGACGAACCAAGGTATATCATTTTGGTTGAAAGTATCCCTTAGCTGGCGTTCACTTGACCAAACTACCTGCGTTCAGACATTTACAACTATCACTGACGAACCAAGGTATATCATTTTGGTTGAAAGTATCCCTTAGCTGGTGTTCACTTGACCAAAACCTACCTAAGTTCAGACATACCTGACATTTTGAGTTCTAACACATTAAACTGCTAGAGACAAAACAAATAATTTTTTTTTTTTTTCTCCTCCTCTTTCCTTCACCCTTTCTCTTTCTTCACTTTCATTATCAAAATCCTTTAATCACCTCATAACCACTTCGCTTGAAAAATTAATTCTTTCATGACCACCCAATCCAATTTTACCGCAGAAGCCGATGCTGTTATTGACCTTATTTGCAGAGAAACTCTCGATAATATAATCACAACCGTAGTGGAAGTAGAAAAATTAGATAGACAAATTGATAGTACTTTTAATAGACTGTGTAGTATAGTAAAAGCACATCAATCACAAAAGAATAATCAAAACGCAGAAACCACCCTAAAAGCAGCTCTTTCAACTAAAAGCGGCAGTCGTCGAAGAAAAAGACAAAGATTAACTGCAAAAAAGGCAGCGAATAAATCATTACAAGATTCTGATCCAAAACTTTCTACAAGTACTCCATCCACTTCTAATTAAATTTAATTTAAAGTACCCCCTTATTCTACCTAATTCTACTAGAATTAAATTTCACTACCCTCTTTATCAGAGCCTAAATTTAATACCTACTTATGACTACCCCAAACGCTTCTATTGCAGAAACTATCGGAAAAACTAATAAAATTCTTCGCGAATCCCTCGTTACTGTTACATCTACACTAAGAGAACTACATAGCTCGTATGAACAAGCTGAGAAAAATTTGATTAAACTCAATACTTTAGTAGAAAAGCACCACTCAATTGTCAGTAGACAATACAACCATTTAAAAGCTTTGTCTGCGACAAAAACTGAAAATCGTATTAGACAAAGTTCTACCACTAAAATAGTACCGGCCGACTCCCCAACTGGCAGTAATTCTAAAAATCCCACAAACGATTCACCATAACCTTAATTACATTGAGTCCTTCTGCTTAAATTTTACTTTTTCAAACTCTCCTCTATTTTATCTTTATTCTCTATCTATCATATTATTTGATTTTAGCCGATTAATGACAAATCTAAAATGGCGGAAATCCCCCATATAAAATGGCCGAACAATTTATCTCCCCCTTCATTTTCTTCAGCCACTGAGATTTTTGATTATTGTCAAAAAGTAGCCGATACAAATAACTTACCAGTGCACATCCAAATAGAATTTAAACCCTCACAAAATCATACTACAACTTTCATTCAACATTCTGTACGTTATGTTAATCTGAAAGGACGTCGCCCCTCCAAAAAACAGAGAGATCGCCTTAAGAAACAAAGTACTCAATAATCGTCCTACTATAATCACCCTTGCATGCTATTTAATTACTTTTGAATTTCGTGTTGTGTGATCCTTCAGTACTTTCAAGTGTGACGTAAGTGCTTTTAGTAAGCTTCTCTATCCTTTTTTTGTGACTATCCTCACTTGGTGACTCCCTTCAAAATGTCTGATACAATTTTAATTACCCTAACATTTTCTACTGGTCCGATAGAAATTTTGGTGGACAACTTTTTTGAACTTTTACGTCAAAAATATCCTGACACTATCAAAGTCAATAGACTAGTAAAAATCTCCTATATTTTAGAACTTTTGACCTCCCTTGGAACAGAAGAAATCATTTCTTACATAAAAACAAAGTTAAATTTAACACTTCCTCAAGAAGAATTTGTATTTTCCGCTATTGATTTAGATAAAGAAGTCCAAATTACTTGTGATAAATATAAAAAGGAACCGACCGAATTAGAAATTGACGAACATGGCAGGTATGCAAATATAGGTAAATTTAATAAAGCTCGCCTGATTCATGAATTTGGAATCAGAAATCTTCCTTATAATTTCAAAAATAGCACAGTAGCCAAACAAAAACTCATTGAAATATTAAATGAAGAATATAGCCAAAAAAACATCGCCATTTTAGAACCTTCTTATGACGACGACTCATTCAGTCGAGAACTTAACGATTCCCTTAAGATTTTTACAAGACAACGACATGACTCACCAACACCCCCCAACTCGGAATTTCATTCAAGATCACAAAGTCCTAAAAGTGTGAAACGTACCTTCCATTCGTTTAAACCTAAACTTAATCCACCCTTTAATTCCTCACTTAACATGCTAAACGCCATTCCTGATCCTAACCAAAAATGGCAACTTAAATCCACTTCAAAACGTCCCTTATTTGAGCCAGAAAAATTTGGCGGAAAACCAAAAGAAGATATTCACGACTTTCTAAATTCTTATGATAAGGCCGCTAGAGTTAATAATTGGACTGAAACTGAAAAAGTTGATCTTTTAGAAAACTATCTGACTGGAACTGCTCAAAAATATATTAAAGCCCTGGATGAATCTATAGGAGCAGCTTTAACCTTTGAGACCGCTAAAGAGGAACTTTTACGTGTTTTTGCACCTGTACAGCGTGCCACCAAACTTGAAATTGAATTGACTAACATGAAACAAGGTATCAATCAAACTGTTGAAGATTACCTAATTTCAGTAGAACGATTAGCCAAAAAGTGTGACCCAAAGATGCCAGAAGAAAAAATAGTTACCCACTCTCTTAAAGGCTTACGGAGAGACATAGCTAAAGACTTACTCCTCAAAGAAATCAAAACTCTTGCACAATTACGTGAAGGTGTAAAAGTATTAGAAGTCAGAGATTACTTATTAAATCAAAGCTTAACTGACCAAACCATACCAAATACAGACAACTCACAAATTGACAAAGACAATAAACCTACCGAAAAATCAGAAACATTAGTAAACATGCTAAAAACCCTACAAACAGACATCAAAGAATTATGCCACTCAGTAATTCAAACTAAAGATTCAGTAAACTACGTATCACACCACCCTAACCGGCAACAAGGCTTCGTTGACAGAGACCAGAATAATCAATACAGACGCACCCATTCGCCCTCCCCAAATCCTGACTATTACAGGAATGACCACAATTATACTAACCGGCAACGCTCACCATCGCCTTACAGAAATGACCCATATCCCTCCCACAGACCTAGATCTAGAGACCGTGTCGATAGGAACAACAATCGAAATTCCTCCAATCAGTACTACATTGACAACTCACAAGCCCAAGACAGATATAATAATAATTATAACAGAAATGATAATTATTATAATAGGTCTAGCAGATCCCGAGAAAGAGACCAAAACCACAATTATTCTTATAATAATAATAGAACCAATTTCATTTCGCCTAACCGACAACAAAGGTACCACCCACAAAACTATTCTAACAATAATTATAGTAATCTTTACAACAACAGACCTTCTTCCCCTTATAATTCTGATTATCAAAATCAATCCTCCCGCAATTACGACATTAATAGAAATGCTCAACAACCATTTCCCAACCGATCACCTTCAAGAAACCCAAATTTTAAAAATACCTCTAGAGATAGAACTCCCCCTCAACCCAACAGGTCAAACACCTACAATAATACTTCAAATAGACCTAACTCTCGTTCCCAATCACCTATTCAATGTAATCAAGCTAATTTTTTCCCTAATCACTCCCCAAACTAGATCCTGCTCAAAGACATGGGTCAAATCTTTGGGTAGGTCAAGATATTGACCCCTATTCTGAAAAATTTAAAAGACCAAACACACCAGCCACCGTACAACCAAACTTAAAAAGTCGTAAAGTAAAATTTCAAGAATCACAAATTGACACTGCAAAAATTAATTTGACCTCCCAGTCAACAGGCGTTCAAATTAAAATAATAATTGATGGGTTAGACAAATTTTGTCTTTTGGACAACGGGGCAGATTGCAGTATAATTCACCTATCTGAAATCGGACAAAGAAATATCACTCCAAAAACAGACATTTGTTTAGCAACAGCTAATACGAGCGCCCTCCAAATCATTGGTATTGTGACCATGCAATTTTACATTAATGACGTGAAATTTGTCCACAATTTTCTTGTATCAGAGACCCTAACAGTCCCAGTAATTTTAGGAACAGATTTCCTATACTATCATGTAGAAAGTATGAATTTTAAACAAAATTATGCAATTTTCATCAATCCGATCTCTAAAGAAAATTTCGTAACAAAAATTTTCGGGTCCATTCGCCCTCTAGCCAAACAAATTCAGGACAATAATTCAAATTGTCAAGGCATACTTACCATCAATGCAATTTTTAATGACTCTCTAGAAAAGGATGCAAATTTTATTTTTCACATTACTCCACAACATAACCTACAACTTACTAATTCAGCTTATGCCCAACATTTTACTAACATCCCACCACGTAGTCATGAAACTGTACCAGTTTTATGGTCCAATTTTCAACCACAATCCCCTGTCATTATCCAACCTTCTGACTCGCTTCATAAATTGAATTTACGCCTACTTTCCACAAGTCTGTCTGAAATCCATTACATATCCGTCGTAAACTCCAGCGACGTTACTAAGCACATTTATCCTTACACAAAAATAGGACATATGAAGCTGAACCTTTTAACAACCGACTCATACCAGCCCAAAGAACTACTCTTTAAGCATTTACCCCCTTCTGTACTCACTCCTGATTGTTGTCTAATAGGACCTCAACTTTCAGCAGCTGAACGATCTAAAGTTTTGAATCTTATTACAGAATTTTCCGATACTTTCATTTGGGACAAATCCCAATTTCAAGCCGGAAAAGCAAAATTTCCACCACAAACTGTTCCCATTTTAAATCACAGTCCTTGCTATCAAGCTCCATATCGAGTTTCTGAGGGTGAACGACAAATTATTAACAGTTATGTAACTGAACTTTTAAAGCAAGGAGCAATTGAAGAAACACTTGATAGTCAATATTCGAGTCCCTTAATACTAGTACGTAAGAAACTATGTGAATTAGACAAAGCAGCGGGCATTAAAGGTGAAATTGACCCAACTCAATTCCGGGTAGCAATAAATTTCAGAAAAGTCAATGAAAATTTAGGCTTATTACGCTTCGAAATACCAAAAATTGAAGAATTGCTGCTAAATTTTCGTAATTCTCAACACCATACTAATATTGATCTAATATCTTTCTACCATCAGATTCCCATTCAAGAAGAACTAGGAAAACTACTTGCTTTTAGCACTAGCCAAGAAACTTATAAATTTTTAGTCTTACCTAATGGTATTAATAGCGGACCTGCAATTGCCATGAGACTTATGTCCAATGCCTTCAGGCAAATGCCAGAAATTAATGTTTATTTTGATGACTTACAGCTCAGTACCCCTGGAGCTTATGCAACCCCCCAAGACTCTACTAACGCCTTTGAACACCACCTACAAAAATTGCGAAAAGCCTTTGAAATATTACGGACATATAACCTAAAAATTAACCCCAAAAAATGCACTTTCTTCTACGATCACGCAACAGTTTTTGGATTTTTGATTACTAGAGAAGGCATCCAACCAGACCCTTCTCGAGTACAAATTATAAAAGAGTTCCCTACCCCAAAAACACAAAAGCAAATTCGAAAATTCGCAGGACTTTGTAATTATTATGCAAAACATATACCTAAATTAAGTTTAATTTTGGCACCTATGTATGATTTAATAAAGAAAACCACCAAAAAGTTTCAATGGAATGAGCAAGCAGAAAAAGCATTCAAACTTTGTAAAGAAAAATTATGTACGGAGCCATGTCTGGCTCATTTTGACCCACACCTGGACGTATTCTTGTTCACAGACGCAAGCTATTCAGGTATATCTGGAATTTTAAGCGTTAAAAAACCAGACGGAAAAATTCATCCTGTTGCTTACGGATCAAAGAAATTAACATCCATTCAACAGAGACGCCTCAGTGTAAGTGAAAAGGAATTATACAGTATAGTTTACTATACTTCTAGGTATAGAAATTACATCTATTTAAAGCACATTACAATTGTCAGTGACCATAGACCATTAATATTTTTGACAAAAACTAAACGCACTGGAAGCACTTTCCTAGATAAAATGCTCCTAAAACTTTCTGATTTTTCCTATGAAATTGTCTATAGAAAGGGTAGACTCAACAGCGGACCAGACACACTTTCCCGACTGTATGAAGATGATGAACCTGAAGAGCGATTAACTAAAGATGTAGGAACAATGACAGATATAGATCCTTCCTATTCTCCTCCTACAAATACAATACACCATACACAACTACGTAGGTCTCCTAGATGCCATGATTTAAAACGACTCGCAACAGAAGCTTCAACCACTCAAAATACCCCCATTAATCCAGCTACACCACCTACATTTTCCCTTACACACGACCTCGAAGACTTAAATTTAGACACATTATTTACAGATAATTCAACTTTGGATCCTAATAATTCGAGTATTTTACCTTCGAATTTTCCAAATTTTCAATTCAATGACCCAAATTATAGAGACGTTATCAAAGCTCTTGAATCTCCAAATCATATTTCCTATAAATTAAAACGCAGAATTAAAAATTATGAATTAAAAAACGGACTACTTTACCGGATTTCTTCTACTAACAAACCCTTATTAATGATCCCCAACTCCCTGCGATACTTTTTCTTGTCTTCTGCACACGATCTCCCTTTCACTGGCAGTCATAGCGGCTTTGATCGAACATTAAGTAAATTAAATGATTATGACTGGCCAACCAAAGTAAGCGACTGCAAAAATTATTGTAAATCTTGCGTCTTTTGTCAAAAAGCCAAACTTCCAACTGGAGCTAAACAAGGCTTGCGTGAGCCAACACATGTTGACCCAGTATTTTGGAAAACTATGATTATGGACCTGGCAGGCCCTTACAACCCCTCATCTGGTGACGAATACCTCCCTGGTCATGGCTATAAATGGGTAATTTCATTAAAATGCGCTTATTCACGCTTTTGGGTTGCAAAATGCTTACAGAATGCAACTTCATTAACAATAGGTAGATATTTATTTGAGACATTTGCTATTTTTGGTATCCCTCATACCCTAAAATCAGATAATGGCCCCTAATTTGTTGAAGGTTCAATGAAAGAATTTCTAAAATTGTTAGGAGTAAACCATCGACTTAGTCCCTTCTATAACCCCACAGTTTAAGGTATATGTGAGAGACAATTTCATACCTTACAAAATACTTTAAGAGCCTATGTCCAGAATAACCCCAAAACTTGGGCCAAATTTGTCATTCCAGCAGTTTCAGCTTATAATATGACACCACATAAAACTACTAGAGTCTCACCTTATTTTCTAGCCTTTGGTCAACATCCCACACTTATACCAGCCCCAGAACTTCGCGATCCTTATACTTATGATATCAACTTTGACCGTCTCCAAGTTTTAGACACTGTCCGAAAAAATGTACTAAAAACTATTGAAAAAGCTCAAAAATATATGAAGCTAAAAATGAACGAAAACAGAAAACCCCTTAAATTTATGATCGGAGAAAAAGTTTTAATCGCTAAACCAGTCAAAAAGCTAGGACATACTTCTAAACTGTTTTACAAAAACTTTGGACCATATACAATTACCCAAATTTTAACTGAGAATATTTACGTAATTTCTGAAAATCCATTAGACCCTAATTCTAAATCTGAAACAGCGCACGCTGAACACCTCAGGAGATTTTTTGATCCTACGCTGTACAGAAAATCCATTTTACCGCAAACCCAACCAATTGAAATAATAAATTCAGATTTCTACGACCCAGAGAAATATTTAGACGCCATTTCTCCAGATGTCGATGAAATCGACAATGTGGAAGCCTAACTTTCACATGCCATCTCTATCACCCCTATCCTCTCCCCCTATTCTTCTTCATCACGCAAAGACTATTTAATACTCCAATCTCATCCCCCTCTCCTCCCTAGTTCACCTCCCTATTTCAGTTACCACGCGCGAGCAAAACACTTTTATTGCAGTCATAAAATTATTCGGCATTTAAACCTCCCTCCTGTCAACTCCCAATCAATACTAACCGACAACTGTCACCACTGCTGTCAGCGTCCATCCCCGTCACTCCACTGTTTCCAAATCTCACATTAAATTCTCACATATATTTACTCCATTTCACAATTATCTTGTTATACATTCCCCCGCAATTTAAACAGCAAACCATGTATAATCAAGTTCATTCATTATACTTAATCCAAAGAGTCCACTTACCCCCCCCCCTTCCCCACTCTCTCCACTTATATTCTCCCCAAAAATAAATCGTGACGTCTGTTTTTCTGTTACAGACGTTACATCTCACTTTAAAATGATTCTTATACTTTTGGGATCACTTTGCTTACTCGACTCAACGCTAGCAATGTCCTTTCTTCATCCATCCTTAACAGGCTTTGACTGCACAGAAAATCCAAGTAGTGTGGTTGAAATTTCTTTAAACGAGGTAAAAGAATGCAAAAAATCTTACGGAGGACCAATCAATAAAACCGTGGAAATACAAATAGTTCAACAAAATGAAGACATCGAACTGAACACTATTTCATGTAAAATTCTTGTGGAACGTTTTGTCTCAAAATGTAGTACCTTTAATGACATGCAGGCAGTCCCAAATTCTTTTGCTTCCTTTTATGCCGATATGACCCTTGAAAAATGTAAATACATTATAGAAACCCAAACTTATAGTGATTATGGGACAATGAACTCTCTAATAGTCAACGGTGTCACGTCTAGACCTGTGCTTTTAGCAGGGTCCATTGAAGGCACAAGTGATTGCACAGGAGGATATTATTCAGATCAATTTGGAACTTATTCAAACGTAGTTGTAAATGCAAACATCGAAATTACCTTATATAAATCTCTAGCTAAATTCAATTCTAAGACAGACGAAATTTACCTACCCACTGGCACAAAATGTGTCTTTTCAAAAGGAACTTGTTTTGATACAATCCGCGGACCAACTTTTTGGGACATTAGTCTCCAACAAGACCACTGCTCTTCTTCATTTTACACTGTCCTTTATGAGGGTAAAGCTGTCACTCTTACAACTCAAAATCATGATTCCCCAACAATTTATTTAGTGAATTCAGATAAACATGCATTCAGTTTAAAAGCATTAAAGAAAACTCGTGTTTGCCTTTATGAAGCCTTTACCACAGAACACAATAGATTTTTCATTTTAGAAAAATCCGAATTTGGCTACCCATTTGTAAAAAATTCAAATCAGATAATTTCAGCAGATCTACTTACATACGTTAATTTCAAATTTCAATTTCTCGAGTCGCATTTAGCTTCCTCGCTGTACGCATTGCATGATAGTTTGATAGCCCTTAGTTGTAAACAAGACAGGCAAATTTTGGAACATGAGATTATGATGGCAATAAGTAATCCAGAAGGCTTTGCCTTTTTAAGAGGCGGCGGCGCCGGTTATTATAGCGTTACTTCAGGAGAAGTTGCATACCTCATTAAATGTACCCCTGTCCCTGTTTTATTACGGTCGACAGACCATTGTTACACTGAAATCCCAGTCTTTTATAACAATGTCTCCATGTTTCTTACTCCTAGAACTAGAATACTAAAGCAAATGGGCACCATCCAAGACTGTTCACACCAAACTCCAGTAAAATTCCAGATTAATGGTGTCTGGGTAGCAGCTACTCCCCATTTTATAGAAACGAAAGAGCCTTCACTCTTAGAAGCCACTCCATTCATTAACTGGACTTATGAATCCCCTAAAAATATGTTTGATGCTGGAATTTTCACCAGAGAAGATTTAGAAACATTTCAGAGACGAATTTCTTTTCCTTTAGAAAGTCAAGCAGCAACCTCCTCAATCATCAGACAAGCCATGGGCCTCCCCCAACCACACCAAATTCATTATGAAAATTTCCTTACACAAGCCTCTCTTGATACAATCATTCAAAAGACAACTAGAAAAATCTGGGGAATTTTCACAGATTTTGGAGTTGTTACTTCAGGCTTTCTTGGAATATTCTGCGTAGGAAAATTTATAAAAGCCCTATTTGATGTATTTTTCGTAGGCAAAATGCTCCATGAAATTTTTGGCTATAGTTGGCAAATGTTCGCATGCTGTTGCGACAGTTTGTCACATTATCTAGTTCATGATCACCACAGAAAATTCAAAACACGCAAAAATTCCACAACAATTTCTTGCCCACCTTATGAATTACAAACCCAAGAGCCATTCAACTCCATCACATTTGATTCTCCAGTCCATAAACAAACAGAAAACCTAATATCAGAATCGCCAACACTCTATTCAAAGTTTGTCTGCAAACCCACAAATGTATAATAATCCCCCGTCCCTTTTCCCTTTATTTCAGAATGGACATAGCTGTTCCTACAGCCCCGGCGGATGTACTTCCAACCAAACCAATAACTCCTAAAAATATTATCCTTTCCGCAGTCTTCTACGAGATTGGCAGATTAAAATCACTTGAATCACCCACCCCAGTTTTCTTCTACGCCTGGGGACCACAAAACGAAATTGCAATTATTATTCTTTCCTTATATCCAGAATTGAAATCGGATTCAAATCATAGTATTGAACTCAACTTTCAACCGAAGCTAAGCACAATCAGAATTTCAAAACCTCAAGGCCCACCAATATTTTCTATTGAACTAATGGTAACAGAAGCCGAAGAACTTACTTTCAGCATCCATAAGTAATTTTAAAATTACCTGATATGACCCTACACTTACAATTTTAATATGTCCTCTTCTGAAGTTACCATATGCTATTTTAATCAATGCAGTGATAAACAAGTTTTAGACTTTCTAAGCTCAATCCTCCACTACAAACGCGCCCTTCCCCTTTCAAATCAATTTTGCACCTATTTTTCGATAATTGCTTCCGCAAAAAATTGCTCTTACATGCGAAGCAAAATTTACGAATTGTGTAACTCAACCCTTCCGTATCAAAAAAGTGTAGAATCCCTTCTAATTTACGATGGCAAACTCTATTTAATGACCAATGTCACCGAATTTAGCCTAGTCATTGATTTTATCATTACAAATACTTACGACAATATTTCTCTCTTACATCACTCGACAAACTCAAATTTAACTGATCCAACACTCAATACTTAAAGGCCTATATCCCTTGCAATGATTTCTATGGAATTTATCCTTTACCACTTAGATCTAATTCTCGAGAGAATAAAAATTGGATACCTGCAACCCTCTCTTATAGTTTCCATCTCCCTACCATTTGAAAATCAATTATTTTACTCAGAAATTGTCACCAAATGTTGTAATGTCACACAGTGGAACGAAGCATTGACACTTGATACTACTGAAAATTGGATTTCCCTTACAGCCTCAGGACTTTTAGTTTTTCAAATAACCCTCCGAAACTCTCCAATTCTACATTTTTCTTTCTTTACTATCCCCAAACATCTACAAAATTCCTTTCTGCTTAATTTTGTAAGAGACATGTTAACGCTTAAATATTCTCGTCTGCCATCACAATTTTTTCACACAAATTTTACTATTTTTAGTAACTCCCTTAACTGCAAAATTTTAAGAAACACAATTTTTACAATAATTGTTTCCGTTCTTAGTGAAGAACTTCTAGTTACCAACTTTTTGGTTAAAAAAGGTAATTTTATACTTAATCATAACTCCACTATCTTTTTATCAGTAAACTTCGTGATCGATCGTACCCATCCTTCACTTGAACTCACATTACAACCCGCGATACTTCCCCCCTTCCCCACCGCCTATAATCTCGATTAAACAGTTAACGTCTATGGATTCTTCTATTCAAAATTTCAACCTTACTTCTGACGAATGCTGCATACCATTTTTAACAAATGATTTTTCTCTGTCAAATTGGAAACAAATCTTCACACACCATAACCACATCGCATTTTTAGAGGAAAAATGTTCTGCAAATTTCCATGATTATGCTACAGAAGTTGAAAGATTATTCCTTCATGCCATTACTAATAATCTCCCACTGACTTATAGCCTCTTTCGCCAAGCTCGTGAGAACATTCCCTTATTTTGGCCCTGGACTAAAGTCAAATTTTCACAAAAGGACCAACTTCAACAAAATTTAGAAATTTTAAATACCCTTGAACATAAAATTCATGTTTAATTTTTACCTTATAACTCTTAACATCTGCTAACTTCCTTCTTTCAAAATTTTGTATAACATAACTTTAACCTTCTACCTCCCCCGCTCAACTCAACTATTGATTTTTTTTTTCCTATCTTCCTCTCAATTTACCCTCATCCCATTCATTCGTCACTCACACAGTCATAAATCCCAATCTGCATCTATTGTCTCAATCTTCCTAAGCGCATCCTACACCCTCCATTTCTCCTCCTCCTCATACCACCACATTAATACATTACCCATATTCACTCCCTTCCATTCAACCGATCACACCCTCTAACCTTCCTTGTTCATCCCTTTCTGCTACCGTCACATCACCCAAAATCGCCACCACAAACCAAAAAGAGCCTCATTCTGCTCTCAACGCCCGTTCAGTGCACACACAACTCAGCAATCACGCTGCAATGGATACTCCCGTAACTGTACCTACGTTCTGGGATGAGCTCCCGCTCGCCGACATATTAAACCCAAAGTTAGACCGCCTCCATTCAGACGTCTTAAACCGACGCGCTCGAATTTGTCTGGAAAAACAACATCTCCGATCGGCCCTTGAAAATCTGTACATACAGATCTTCAAAACGTTCTTCATCGAGTATTTGCTCAGAAACCGAACCCCGGATACAGCCCTTTTCATCAAAGTACGAAACCACTTTGGATTCCCACTACCCAAATCTTCATACGAATCCGATGAAGATTTCGAAAATAGAATTCTCCACCATACAGAAACGGATATCTTATATCAACTTCATACAAATGCCACAAGACGCCGCACCGAAGACTCCGAAAAACATGTACTAGAGTCCATTAAATTTCTTTTTATGTAATGTTTATACCAATTTAGTTATAAGTCACAATGTATCTTTTTCTTCATTTTTCTACTTGGGGGGCATCTTTTTCTTCCTTTCCACTTGTGTAACCTTTTCTATGTGTTTATAAAAAAAAAGAAAAAAAAAAAAAAAAAAAAAAAAAAAAAAAAAAAAAAATATACAAAACAAAAAAAGTAAACCGAAAAGAGTGAGTTGAGTGTAAAAAAAAACAAAAAACAAAATAACTTATCATGTACGCCCAGAATCTAAATCCCCCAACTCACTTCATGTCCGATTTTTCTCTGTTCCATGGTTGCCAAGTTCATTTTACCCTACAATTATTCTTCAAATACATACATTTGTCAATACCCCACCTCATTCCCCCTGGATCATTGTCCCTTGTAACTGCAATGTAGTCACATCTATCACATCCTTCCTTCATCTATCATCTTCCTTTATTCCTATAAACTTTCTCTTTCTTACACATTTCGCCCTTGTAACCCTTTTTTTTCTCTTTTAAATCCTTCCAGATTCCTGTGCATCTACAATCATGCAATCCAAAAGCTTTGTCAATTATCATTTAAACTTGATGTTCAGCTTGTTTGACGTAAATCACAGCACTCCACCTGTCAAAATAGAGATTCGCTTCCCACCAACTGATATGTCCTTTCAAAATACAATTTTTGATAGATGCATCAGAATTTTGTCAGAAAACCCAACATTGTCATGCTTACTCACGGCTAACACCATCAACCTCGTACACGAAAACAAATATTCACTGCAACTACTTCTCATTGCAGATACTAGTTTTAAAATTTCCATATGCCTTTGTGAAAATAACATGGAATTTACGGAATCTCTTGAAACTTTTCTCTTAAATATTTTTCTTGTAAAAAACATTCTTTTAAACGAGAATTTTTGTACTACACTTGTATTAGAATTCCAACATTCATATTTCCTTTATAAACAGATACTCCAAGCCAAATTAGTTTCACTAATCACGCATTCCGCTTATCAATTATGGAGTTTCCCAAATTCCTTACTGATTAAGAAAAATTTTCAAAATTACTACGTCATAAATTTTACTCATAACACAAATTCTTGTCCCGTCTGTAACTCATAACTTTGTAATCCATAGATTTTTGCTGCCCATCTGGCAACTTCTTGTACCAACCCCCTTCTCATTCGGGCGCACTGTCCTATTCACCGATTTTACGACGTTTTTATTGCACTTTTGCATCTCCCTACCAATAATGCAACCCCTTGCACCTTCGTGTCACTCACCCTCGTTTCTGTTGCCTAACTTCCACTTGTATCTTTCAGATGTGGGACGAACCTGAAATTTTCAATCAATGCCAATTTCTTACCTGTAAGAAACTTATCTTACACACTGACAAATGGTGTTATGACCACAGAGTCTTGGAAAAACATTTCTCATCATCTCTCGAAAATTTCGAGTCTTCATATGTCTTTCACCTACTAACGCATGATTTAGCCATTCCGCAGCATTGGATTCATAAAATTATCTCTTATATTCGTAAAAATCCTTTTGTTCTTAATTTACAAGAATTACATGCACGAAAATTGTACATTAAATTATTTCATGGAAGTAACTATACTATTGATTTCCGCTCTTATAAAAATAAATTGCTCGCTCAACTTTTATACTATAAAAGTGAATATTATGTTTTAAATAACTTAAAAGCACCATTTCTTTTTAAGCTATATTGGCTTTATTTAAGCGACTACACTGATTGGACCACAAATCCCAAAGAGTACGTATCTGTTTACACCCATACATACTTAGATTTACATCGATATATTCCTCCCAAACCATATTCATACAATTCCTCCCTATCTCTTAATTTATGTAACAACCTAAGTCACTCGCCCTCCTCAAACGAATCAGTTTACTCCCCTCTTAATCCGGCAATTCCGTCACTGTCCTTCATGTTCCTAAAACGAGAACTTAAACTTAGGACCCAACCCAATTTAGACTGGCTATTTGATCTTACAACTCCCTTTTATTTTAGCACCATCTTTGACATTCAGCACACTGACCCCATCCCAATCCCCACATGAACACCTTTATGTCACTCACTCATTTCTCACCTCACTTCGATGTTATTCACTCATATAATCACCAATTGTACATGCTTCTTATATATTTTAACCCTTGTATGCATATTCCCCTTACTTATAATGTACATACACTTTAATTACTTCTATGTCACCTATATATGTCTATCTACACCTACTCTTAAATTACCTCAATTTTTGCTGTATCTTTTAACTCTGTATACTCTGTTTTACGTATTTATTCATGTATGACCACTTACCTGTATCATGACCCTTATATGCACCTATCTACTTACTCATATATTCATGTTCACTCATATTAGCTACTGTAAGACCCTTCTACCCACCTATCTACTATTATATTTACTTATTTTATGCTTATTTTCTCTTCCCATTTTGCTTTCTCATTTGTACTGCGAATTTTTACTATTACCCTTTTCTATACTCTATATATATCTATTTACTCCCTATATATAATCTTCATGTATCTGTTCGTCCTAAAACTTGCTTGCACATTCTAGTCTCATATTCTTCTGTACTCTATACTTACATACTGCCGTCTATTTTACTTATTCTTTACCACTGTATGCCCCTTATCTACATTTTATACATACTCTCATTGTACCCCCCTCCCCTATATTATTTATTAGCGTATTTTTAAGCGTATATAGTCTATGTTCTTATGTTTATACTCCTTTAGTATCAAATCCCTCTTCATTTAACAAACATTTCATATATGCCTAATTGCATTTTGTATATACTCTCATTGTACCCCCCCCTCCTCTATATAATTTGTCAACGTATTTTTAAGCTTATATAGTCTATATTCTTATATTTATACTTCTCTTGGTGTCAACATTTCTTTCATTTAACAATATCTCATATATGCTTAACTATAATACTCTCATTGTACCCCCCCTCCCCTATATTATTTATTGGCATATCTTTAAGTCTATATAGTCTATATTCTTATATTTCTACTTCTCTTGGTGTCAACATTTCTTTCATTCAACAATATCTCATATGTGCTTAACTATAATACTCTCATTGTACCCCCCTCCCCTATATTTATTGGCATATCTTTAAGTATATATAGTCTATATTCGTATATTTATACTTCTTTTGGTGTCAACATCTCTTTCATTTAACAAGAACTCATATATGCTTAACTATAATACTCTCATTGTACCCCCCCCCTCCCCTATCTTATTTATTGGCGTATCTTTAAGTCTATATAGTCTATATTCGCATATTTATACTTCTTTTGTTGTCATAATCTCCTTCTTTCACCAAATATCTCATATATGCATATCTACATTTGTACATACTCTCATTTGCACCCTCCCCCCTATTGAATTTATCCGCAATCCCTAAGTTATGTAGTGTATATCCTTAATTTTTTTTCTTTTTCTCCCCCCTTTTCGCTGTAACTTCCCTTAACTTATAGGATACTCATATATACCTATCTACACCTCTATACTTACTCTTGTTACATCTCTTCCCTCTGCTTTTTACACATAACTACTCATATTTTCATTGTTACATCTACATTCCTCTGTATCGTCTATAAATTCCTCTAAAATTTACATTTACCCATCTAAATTTCTTACATATGCTTATGTACACCTCTATGCATTTACTCTAACTTTCCTTCTATGTACTTCCCTATACATTGTATTGCTACCCTTTACTCACTTACCCATTTTTCCTTATGTAATTATCATGTGTCCTTCAATATATTTTACTGTAAATCCAAGATTTGTCATATCTTTACAAATATGCATAATTATCTTCTATGTATCCCCTTATTTATCACATTATTTCACCTTGCATTTACTCTCCATATTCTATTTATCCCTTGTTCATCATCTCCTGTGATCTATCGTAAAATTGCAGCCCTACCGACTGGCTCAGGCACTTATACCTTACTCTTAGATATAACTATTTTATTCTCCCTTCTACCTTATTTCTATCAATATCTTACATACTTATAATGTTTTCCTTCAAATTTATACTTTAACTTATAATGTCTATTAATTTCCTACTACTTTTCTTGTGTACTCCTTGTGTCGTTACTTATAAATTAATTCGCATTACTCTTATATCTTAACTCCTTATATCTCATAATTACACTATTTTATTCACTACTAATACCCACCATTATTCTCATATACCCTTATAACGTTTGAAGTTACTTCTAAAATTACTGTCATTTTATTCTACATTTTACTTAATACTTTATTCACCTCTACTTTCTTCACAGTTTTGTCAAAAATGCATTTATATTTAACTTCCCTCTTGCCGATTTTTCAACTAACTGTCATTTGTATTTCTTCCTTGTTTCGACCTATATTCATCATTGTATTGGTTACTGCATCTTGTCTCTACGCATTGTATTGGTTACTACATTTTGTCCTTCCGCCATTTCGCTGAGTCCCTCCCCCATTATTCCTCCAATTGCTTCCACGACCTATGTTCTACGCCATTGTTACACCCTACCCTTGCTCATTATTGGATCCACGTTTCTCACGCCACACCCCTCCCCACGTTTTGTCAACCAGTCTCACCTACTCTTCCACTCACTCACACCCTCCCCCCCGCCCCACCTTCCCCATTCACCCTTTGCGCCTACCTCTTAAGTTGTTATGTCGACTTCCTCTACATAACACACAATACTCGTGCATTTTATGCCCTCGCCATCAATTTTGAAAAGTACTTCATACTTTTTCTTTGGCCCCGGAGGTGTGAGGTCAATAATTCTGTTGCTAACCGAAGTCTCTGTTGCTAACTGAATTCTTTCCCTCGCCTTTCTTGATGAGTCACCTCAAATCAATAACGTAGGCGCCGAAATTCTTCATGCGATGTCGAATTCATGTCCTGCGCTGTCAAGCGTCCGAGATGTCCTCAGCAAATCTCGATGCGCTCTTGACTCAATCTTATTTTATCCTTCTTACTTAAAGCATCTCTGCTCCAAACCCAGGGTTGTGCCCTCAAGCACTATGCCACAATTTAGTGGTTTCGATTGAGTCTCGTTAAGGCTCCGGTTACAATTTAGTGACTGCGACGGAGTTTCGTTACAACTCAAACCTCGACGGTGTTACGTACAACACAAATAGTCCGAGTACTTTACACTCACTTCGTTTTACACGCGTTAAGTGTTAATTCGGTGGTAACACGTAAGTTACATTCGGACGCGTACGTTACACGCAAATTCGACAGCGTTCGTTACACGCAAATCCGGCCGCGTACGTTACACGCAAAACTTCAACATCTTCAGTTTATGGTGCGCTAAGGTAAAACATCTCATCATCCTAAAAATCCTTCATTATTTCCCATATCTTTCCTCTACCAATTTTTCCACTCCAACTATCATACAAAAATTTCCGTAACCAATTTATCTGTAAATTCATTAATTGTAACTCCATTTTTCTTGTAATATCTGTAATACTAAATCTGTTATTTTCCTCAATATACATAGCCGAAAGACTTCAAACGTACTGAGTCCGACTCTTCATTTAATTTCCCTTGAATTCCTTATCTAGAATAAATTAGGTAAGAAGGTGAAAGTTGTTTTGGTTGCAGTTCATTTCAGTCCATCATAAATTTCTATTAAACTCATCGTATTAATTAAAGGCAACCCAAACATCTTCTCACACTGTAGGTAACTTCAAAGTATTTTTGGGGGTAGCAGAAAAGCAGAAAGCTAAAATTATGTTCCAAACTTTGGAGCAAGATTAAAGATAAAATCTTTGCTAAGTTTAACCAGTGCTTACTTCAAAGTTCTGAAAGATGATTTCTTTTCAAGCTTCTTATACTAGCATTCTTTTTAAGGAAGTTTAGTAGTATCATTTAATAGTGTTAATTGTACAAACTACTTTTAAGTACAAAAAAAAATGTAAAAACTAGAGTATGACAGGAAGTCTGCCTTGTCGCAAACCAAGATACGTTGTTGCCGACATACACCATCGATATTGCACCATTTTGATAGGGAGTAATTGAATATGAGGGGAGTCTTATTTTTGGATTGGACTACATGAGACCTGTAATAACTTTGAAATGCTTTTAACCGATTGCCTTTGTCTATGTTGGTTCCAGTGGAGAGAGTGGGATAAGGAATCATCGATCCTATTTTCTTACTTTGTAGACAAACCTCCAAGTTTTAACCACCAACTACGATGAAGTCGAAGTTTCTTCGAGTCAGGTACCAGATGCAAGATTCGGCAGCTTATGACGAAAAACCAAAGCCAGGATGAAAAAGGGTATTGCAAAGGTGTTATATTCTGTTGGAATTTATTTCATCCTCAGCATCCACCTGAAAACGCAATTATTTTCAATTATTACAGGAATATTTGGGTAAATTTTGGCTTTTGTAATGATGAGCTGTGTACTGTTTCTGGCTTGTCCATAAAAGCACCTATCTGCAGCGAAACACTGTTTCTAAGATCTTTGTTACCCTCGTGAAAAAATGTAGATTACAATTCAATGTTGCCAAATTTCCCCTCACAAACAGCATTTTTGCTTACGTACTCTTGGGCATTTCTAACTAAAAATTCCACTGAGTTTTCCTCTGATATAAAATTTTTTGGACCAGTATTAACTGGTTCATTTTTGTGATAAATTGGATTGTGTGAGTCAATTTTGCAACCTTGAAATAAAGTTACATTTCTTCGTCTGGGAGATGACAAAAAGAGTCAGAAAGTAGTTTCTAATTGCAAAATGTTGTCTATTTGGTCAAGAGGGAAAATTTGGATTAATTGGATTATATTATGCAACAAAGAACTACTATTTCTGCCTCATTTTACTTTTGCAATGTGCAACATACTTTTTTTCAACATTCAACATTTCTTCAAACATACTTGGCAAGAATTTCAAATGCAATTTAAAAAGTTAGTTCCATATATAATTAAAATTGGATCAATCGCACACCTCTAAGAAGAAAATTTTCATGTGCATGTGAAGGATCTCCACATAGATTTTTGAAAGCTGAAGATTTTTGGAGCTGTTGAAATTTTCGAGTAGCCCTAACTGCACAATCCAAGTTATTAACTTCCTCTGAGTCCAACTGCGCAAGGACCAGATTGTTAGTTCTGCTTAGAGAGAAATTCGACTTAGAGGACTTTCTGTTCTGATGAAAAATTCAATGTAACCTTCAAAAAGTTCGAATTAGAGGAAAATTCCACTTAAAGAGCGTTTGACTTAGAGGAAGTTAATTGTATTAAGCAATGATCCCAGTAACATTGCAAAGATACTTCCTGATATAATCACCGGAACCTCCAGCTTATTTTACAACAAAATGCAGTTCCTCTTACTGTCAACGGTTTTCATCAGTGATTCACTGGGTACCTTCATGGTTCCATCAGCATCTCTACTTCAAAGTTCTCATTGAAAAATGCATTAAATATTATGTCAAGTGAAAAAAGCATGCAAACATCACCTTGAAACTTCATAACCACTTGCCAAGTGTTTCTTTCAAAGATTAGTGTTCTAATAGAGAGGTAAAAATTAAAATAAAAGAAAATGAAAAACTTTTCACAATTTTGGGAGGAACCATTATTCTTGATGTAAAATTTGCTACAGAAACCTGTAAGAATAATGATTAAAAGTTCAAATGTTATTTTCTAAGCTACTTTCTTGGACTTTAAACGGATATCAGTTGCGATATTTTGATCATTAGGCAGTGGTACCAGTACAACAATTTCATTTTATTGACATTAAGATACAGTGATCGCACTTGAAAGTCGGTGACACTGATTTTCCTCCATTCAAAAGAATGTAAGACAAAAAATTCTTAAGAAGGCAGCTTGCCTCACCTAAAATTGATATTTTTAATGAATTTAAATAGAGGAATAACAGTGTTGCTAACTTGCAAAATCACCACTGTTAGATTTCTTTCCAAAGGATGGTCATCATTCCACTAGGCGGGTTATGAATGCTAATATGGTCAACTAAATCACCATTCTCAAAGAGGCATCAGCACTGGAAATGAAAATAGGAGAGGAACAGAAAAACCATTTTAATTAATCAACTTTAAACGACAGAGCTCTAAAATAAGAAATCAATCAATTAGGATTGACTTAATGTCTGTCTTCAATTCTTCAAATTCGAATTCCCCGACTTTGAGCATTGACTTGACTTTCCCTGACGTTCTGGGTTGACTGAACCTTACAATACTGTTCATATTTACGACACTTTAGGAGACCAAAGCCAATGAATTTCAAAAAAAAAATTTAGGGAATTTTTAATGTTAGCATTACAGACTTTAAAGGATCCGCGGAGCTTCTTCGAAAATTGTTTTACTTTTTTCAGAGTGAGAGGTAAAATTTTGAGGACCTTGAAGAATCCCTTAAAAAAGAGATGTTCTTCTTCCCATACTTTTATTCATTGCTGCGTTTAGGTAAAAAAACAAATCTATGATGAACAGCTAACGCTACTTGACATTTTGGAGGTCCCTACTTAAAGAGAAATGATTGAATTTCTTGAGATTTGTGAATCAAATAACCAGATTATATAAAATTGGACTGAATTTTGCAATGAGGAACAACAATTTCTGGCTCACTTCAGGAACAATGCAAGTCCCAAGAGTTTATTTATACAAATGGGCACTTCTACATCTGAGCTGGAGATTGTAGTTTTAATTAAAAAATACAATCGTGGTCTAATGAGTACATTCAAATCATTTTCCCAAAATTCAAAGATACCAGAGGATTTCAAAATTTTAAAAGAAATCATGTTTGTTTCAGAACTTTTCGAGACATCACTAATTCTGATTAGAAAAAAACTGGGATGATTTCAATGGGATAGATGCTCGGAAGAGTTGGGAGGGGGAATTCCTTACCATGGATTTGTTGATGGATTCAAGTCACAAAGTTTGCTTGAGCAGAGCACTTCGCGATCCTTGTCTTCCATTTGATTGAGCGACAACTCGGTGCCATTAAAATACAGCATGCTCTCAGTCCTACTAAAAAAAGAGGAAGCAGAAAATTAATTTATTTGCGAAAATGTTTTGTCAAAGTCTCAAATCTTTCTTGTCACTTTAAAAAAATCGCAATCCTGAAAAATTTACTCCCTCATTATAATTATACATAACATATTACATATACAGTCAGTAAATAGGCTAGTTCATTGTGACAGATCAGCTGATATGGCTATAATGCCCCAGTCGAGTAAATAAATAGGAAACTCTCCTCTCTCAGTTTTGCACTGATTTTCGTTTGAGTTCTTTGTGAATCTAAAGAAAGTTTTTGGGGGTTTTTCCCCATGCAGAATATTGCAGACCGAGTTATCTTCTACCACCCTGTTACTTACAGTTCAGGCCACATTTTGTGTGTTATGTACGCAGTATGCATGATACTATTACACTGCAGAAGGAAAGATACGTAAATGTATGAGGATTACTGGGATACGAGATTAAATCATTAATTCATTTCATTTGTCTAATTTTGTTACAGGCTAAAATAGACCACTAGAAAAGGTGCCAATTTAAGCACCATGATGTATGTCTTCACATTACGACGTCTGTAAGGTAAGAAACCGGATTTTGGTGATAACTAGCGCATTATGCATCCGAATTAGGTTTCCTTGAACTTTCCTGATAGCTGATAACATACTAAAGAATGCTAGATTCACAGATTTTCTTTATTTTGATCAGTGTTCATTCAAGATCACCTTGAATACAAGTTAGTTACGTGCGTTCTGCACTTTTCATCATGCAATCACTGATGGAGCTAAGATTTATCATTAACTTTGGTTTTGAGCTCAGTATACATTGTATCAAAACTTTTGATATGCTAAGTAAAGTTTACCAAGATCATTGTATGAGCTGTTCCCAGTGTTTCGAGTGGTTTAAACGGTTCAAAACTGGTCAGAAGTCCATCAAAGATGAGGAGCATAGGAATCGACCATCAACGGCTCCTGACATTTGCCACGTGGAAAAAATTGGGGCAAAAGTGCTCGAAAATGGTCGTTTCGAGCTTGGTGAACAGTGTTATATTTCTGAAGGCTCTGTACATACAATTTTGATAGAATATTAACACATGCATCGATTTTCAGCTAAACTTGTCCCGAGACTGTTGTCCGATGAACAAAAATCCAATCGAGAGTAAATTTTCCTTCGGCTTCTTGAACGTTCTAACAATGATCCTACATTTTTGGATATGATAATTTACAGTGACAAAACTTTGGTGAACGGTTATGATATGGAGACAAAACTCCAACCATCCGCGTTGGTTGAAGAAAGTAGTGCGAGACCGAGAAAAGAGCGACAAGTTTGGTCAAATGTGAAAATCATAGAACACCCATGAGGTGGCCTTACTGCAAACCACATACCAACAAAGATAATTAAGATTTTATAAATTTGTGAAAGTAGCGTTCTTAAATATATTTTCAGCTACTAAGGAAGTCCAAGGAAACTTAATTCGGACACATGATGGGTTAGTTATCACCAAAATCCAGTTTCTTATCTAACAGACCTCGTAAATTTGACATAGAACACAATTTCTATCACAAAAATTACTAAAAGGAACTCCCACCTAAGATATTAATGTTTTTTTATGTATTCATTCAAACTTCCCACACCAAAAAAATAAACTATGATCTACTTAAGTTACATCACACACCAAACGTTACCATGACAGTCTCAAGGGTATGAAAATATGTCAACCAGAATCTTGACACTTTGGCTCAGCTTTTGCTTGTTGTTGCCACTTTGAATAACATAGGGTGGGGGCAAAGTTCAAATAACTTTTTACTTTTCGTGTAAACCCTCTGTACCTCGTTCAAAATTAGAAGAAGGAGAAGAAGTTGGTCAATTATTTATTCAAAATTGTGTACTGAACAATGTCCTTGATTCGTTTTTGCCATATTTTAATATTTTCCATCCAAAAATTCTAGTGGAAAACTCAAAAACGTCGAAAAAATCATTACCGTAGCCTGTAATAATCTGTAGGTCATTAATTTTATGTTAGGTTTTCAAAAGATTCAAGCCCAAAAAAAATAAAACCTTGGCAAATATTACAGCCAAGATGTATTTCAAGGAGTATTTTTTGGTGTTTATGTCAAAGTTTAGCATAGCAATAAAATTACGCCACCCGGAAGCAATGTAACAAAATTTTCGCATCATTACCGTAGACCCTGTTAGCGGCACTTTTCCGCCGCTAGAACGCAGTCTGTGATCACTTATTCATTCGGAGTGTTTTGTTTACCGTCTAGTGCACGATGGCCGGGTTGTCCGGATTTTGAACTTCATTAAAAGATAATTTCTCTTGTTTTTATCTGCTGAATTAAATTTTGGCAATTTGAAATTCTCATTACCGTATACGTACTTTTTTCTGTCAAGGAATGAATGAAATATTAAAGTAGTGCATGATTTATATTGCATACTAAGACCTAACCTCAATTTGAAAATTACAGCGGAATCCACCAATGCAACTAGATTATACACCGACTTTCATCATAAATTATCATTACCGTAGCCATCATTACCGTAGGCTCTTTCCAAAAGGAGTGGGGTCTACGGTAAATGAAAAAATATTTTTAGTGCATATTATTCGTGACTACTACTAAATCATGCCTTTAGAGGGTATAAAGACCTTAAAAAAAAATATAGGAATGCCATTTGAGGACTTTCACTTTTAAAATCTCGGCTACCCCAAAAGTAAAAAGTTATTTGAACTTTGCCTGGGGTAGGAACACTGCTCAATTGAGAAGCCTGCCAAAACTGTTGTGGTTCCCGCTTTGATTCAAGTGAACTCTTTGTTTTTCTTGAGTAGGAGATTCAAATTTTTCATGACAAATGTTAATTAAAAACGTTATTATCTTGGTTTAAAGTTAGTTTCAGTAATTTTTGTTAAGCAAATCATGTTCTCCATGAAATTTTGAAGGAATAACATTCATCAGAATGCTTCAGTTTGTATCTTGTCTAGTAGTCCACTGAAAAATAAGGTTATGAAAACAACTTACCGAATACTCCTCGTCTTTTTTGGCTAGCAAATCACAGAGAGTTTGCTTCCCACCAAAATCGACTTTTAAATTCGGTCAGGAAAGTCTTACAGCATTACCAAAATATAGACTTTTCTATACTGTGTGCCAATAAATGAAGCTTGAACAACCTTGCGTGCAATTTGAACTCGTTACCGCACTGATTACAGAAGTATGGGGCCTTTAGACTTTTGACACGGACAGAAAAATGTCTCTCGAGATTCAATTTTATCATGAATTTTTGGGTGCATTGAACACAGCAGTACCTACTATCAGGTATCTTTCTATGTTTTTTTCTTTTATCTTTCAGGGCAAAACCCTGTTGGTTTTCTCATTTATTCCTGCACTGCTCACGCATATGGGCTAAACTCGGACACCATATGATTCAGCACATCGCCTTTTGTTTTGAACGATGCCTTGCACAGATCGCAGGGGTAATGTTAGTTAGGGATATGCGCTTTTCTAAGATGTTGATCACGTTCATTTTCAGTTCTGAACCTTTTCTGACAATAACAACAAACCAACAGCTTACAGCTCACGCGTATGTGAGTCGTGAGTCCGGTCCTAACTTTAAATGTTGAGCCGCAAAGACTGCAAGAGAATGGTCTCTCATTGGTGTGCATTTTTAAGTGATTTACAAGATATTCTCTATTTCTGTAATGTCGATTGCAGTGTGCACAGCCAAAACGTTTTTCAACGGGTCTACATACATGTCTCTCGAGAAGCTCAGCCGTTGTGTAACGACGTGTGCACTCGGAGCAGATGAAAAGTTTCCCGTCTGAAGGGATTTCAGCACTATTCATGGTGATGACAACCGATGAATATTCATCTTCTGAACTCTCTGATGATTTTTCTACATACGAGGAATCATCGTCATACTCAGACGTCTCAATGTCCATGGAATCATAGACTGAATCTTCTTCTATTTCCCCATAAAATTCTTTGGCATGCTTGTTCATGTGATTATCGAGAGTTCGTTTCAGATAGAATCTCTCATCACAGAAATCGCAGACAAAGCCCCTTCCGCAATCATATTCTACTGGCTGCTCTTCTTTCAGTGATGTTTCAGGACTTTCGGAAAGGGATGTGACTGTTTCGGCGAATCTCAACTCCTCAGGTTTGGCCTTGATGCTGATTTTTGAGTGCAATTCATCATCCGTGACTTCACTCTTGACCAAGCCTGAACAGTCAATGAACTGGAATGCTTCAGAACCATTAAAAGGATCACCTTGTTCGATCTTAATTTGCACGCCAGTAGCGATTTCTGTAGAATCGGTGTTCTCCGCAGCGGTGACATTATCTGTGAGAGTGGTGCTTTCTGCAGAATTGATGTTGATATCATTGGGAGTGAGGATTCTTAACTTGGGTGGGTCAGGTGATGCAGGTCGTTCAGGGACTGAAATCTCCATATTACCGGTAAACTCACTGACACAATCTAAAAACAAATGAGACACCTTATAAATTGCTTGTAAATTGGTATCGATGTTGGGACCAAAATTGGGACGAGTTGACAAACAAAAGCTGTTTAAAAATTCTGTAATGTACAGGGTGACCCAAAGGTCCCACCTATACCTGACTCTTGTGCAAATTGAGATAGGGACTTGAAATTCTGTAAGTGCTCCTGGGCCAAAGGAAACGACTTTTGGAAATTTCAAACAACTTAAAAAGGAACCACCCTGAAAATCGGCAAGAACCCAAGAGGTTAAAGAGGTGGTGCAGGACTCCTATTATCACACTGTATATTTAGTTTTCATATCAGTCATATTTAGTCTTCCGCAAGTAGGAAAATGAAAGATACATGTTTTTAAAAAGTTAAAAATTATAATAGTTGACACCTGAATTGTTACTTTTAAACCTGAACAGCACAGAACTCAAGAAGTCGCTTTATATTCCAAATTATCAAGAACGGCCCATGTGATACTTTGGCTGAATGGTGACGATTTATCACTCAAATTTTTGTATTAGAGTAATTTAAAGTTTGAAGCTATGAATTTCTTAAAAATGTTAAGTTTGAGTCACACCATCAAACAATGCTATCAATATATCTATCAAGGTCAAGGGTTAGGATTGGTCCAAGTCATTGAAAAAGCCAATTACAACGCCTGACCTTGATATGTTAATAGCACAGTTTGATCTTCAAACTTAGGCTTAAAGGCAGGAACATGTTTTACCTCTTTGGATTATTGCTTTATTTTCATTGCAGTCGAGGATCACTTCTTCTTCCAATTTGATTTCTTTCTTGATTCCAAAGTCTGAATCATAAACTACATCTATTGTACCAGTGCTACTTTTTTCATCAAAAAACTGGAACGATTTGTGATTCAGACTATCGCCACACTTAACAGATTCTGAAAAAGTAAAAGACTTAGCTTTCATCTTTGCATAGGATTAGATTGACCACATCAAAAAATTCTCCGAGAAAACCGCCCCCTTTTCTCTAAAAAAAAAAAAAAAAACCTCTTCTTTTCAAATTTATTTCTACACTCATCACAAAACTATTTTAAAGCTTAAAAAGTTAGCCAAATCTGACGACTTAGAAAAGCTGCCTTTAGCTGGTAAAAATCTTGTCCAACTTTCCTACCACACAGTACAATACTTCAAAATATTGGGCTTATCTAGGTAGTATTGATAAGATGGATTCACTTTTCAAAAACACACTTCACAGTCCTCTAATCTCATGTACTCAGATTAACAATAATTATTGGATATCTAAACAACTACCATAGAAAATCGTGGATCAAGGTATTTATCTGAGAAATCAGAATGTGCTATAATATGTGGATAGCAATTTAAAATTGGAACAAGAAAGTGGGCAGCTCCCAGTTATGAAGTCTTTTTCCAAAAAACTCTTCATCATTAAAACTCTTTAGAAAGAGACTCTATTTCTATTGAATTCCAAGATTAATGGCAAATTCCCTAGGTTTTACCAGTAATAGAAACCCTGCTTCTAATAGCAATAAGATTGACTAAGTTGCCTGACACTTATGCATTGTGAGTTCTGTTCATCAGAAACTAAAATACTGGTTTCACGACCAAATTTCGTATTTTTACCGGATTGTGCTATTTCTGCAACTTTTCCCACTTAATTCAATGTGAAATATACAGGCGTTTTCACGCAATCTGGCAACCTTGACTTGACAGATACTCCTCTCCTGAAAACTTGCCACACAGAAGAAACATTCCTCTCGCTACAGATGGTAACAAAACATTATGCATGGAGCCTATATATAAAGCTACCATCTCAAGAACATGATGCATCCTAGAATATAATCATTCAATTTGATGTGCAGAAAAAGGAGTTACCAGATAAGCTATTGGGACAGGGTGATGTTACTAGATCATCATTGTTTGCGTCAATTGAATGTCCGATTGTGGTAGAGGAGCTCTTCGTTCCGTCTTCAACCAAAATAGAAAGAAAAGGCACAGCAGATTCCAAAAAAGAGGTCTGCAAAAGAGAAGGGATAGGAAATTAGGATGACAGCAATTTCATGGGGGACATTAAGCCAGGTCCTTATTATTCAGGGGCCATGTTGATTATGTTGATGTACGCTAGAGAGAAGCATTCGTTAATCCTTCTCAAGCTAGTATGTGTGTGCAAGTCTCATCGTCGTTGTTAGCTATGGAATGGCTTAAGATGTTTGTATTCTGTAATTTGCATCGGTTCAGTTTGCGTAATAAAGAAAGTAATAGGTCCTCTATCTGCCGTTAAATGCTTTTTCTCAACAGGCCATGGCCGATTTTTTAAGACATTTGACGCAAAAGTACCTGCAGGTTTGGAACACTGACTGAGGTTGGCGTTGACTAGGAAGGGATTCCCTATTACGACCCTGCATGGCTCTTTCAAACTGGCACTGCTCCTGTTATATTTGACATTAATGCGCGTTTTTAGTATCCAAAAGTATGTAAACAATCCTCCAAGAAATGAAACTAGGAACTTAATTTATAGTTTTAGGCAGTGAGGTCCCTTTTCCTGAGGATAGTTACGTATGGACGGACTGTTCCTAAAAAGAAACACATCCACTTTTAGATGAGCCTTGGCCTATATGATAGAAGTTGTGTTAAAGGGTCCGAGTAAAAACAGACACGTTTCTTTTTAGAAACAACTTGTTCACATGCTTCAGCATTTAATTTACAGATTTAGTTACCATGATGGTCCATTATTAACATTTTTCTTTGGATAAGTTCCCTTAGGCAAAAAGATACTCCATCCAAAACAAGGCGTAGTTTCAGTGGGTGGGAAGTCTCTTTTCTTTCTTTTATTACTCTTGAGAAGATTCACATATGAGGAAACTCAAAAATGACAGAACTCCAATTGCAACTATTGGCATTTCCTGTCATATTCTACTACCGTTGAAGAATGTCCGATTGTCATTACTGCCTGAGATGTCCACAAGTTTCTTTTCAACCTTTAAAGAACATTCTCAGGAAAACTTCATACAACAATTTTTAGCGATACCTTCATGAAAAAAATGAAATATGAACAGAAAACCTCTTCAAGGTACAAAATTTACAAGTTAGATCTCAAGATATGAGCTCATAAAAAGATAGAGGTAAGTTGAGACTAAGTTTTTTGTTGGATGGATGTTTATAAGTGAAGAGGGTGACTACCTCGCGGCTCAAGCAAGAATTTGACCCAGTTGACAAGGAAGAAGGTGACGTCCAGCTCTGTGAGAAGGATGGCTTCACACTCGAAGGAACAGTCGCTCCTATCTCAGTATCTGACTCTGGCAGAGAAATATTTTGGCAGAGAAAAGAAGTTGCCTGTATGCCATCATTCCCCTGAAAGTAAGAGACATTTAATAAACAAAAATTTACACTGTCAATAAAATGTCAAAACAGGGTTGCCATGATGTCTTCATCTTCAAATTCCTTGACTTTTAAAGCTTTCCTATATGACTCTAAAATTTTCCAATTTTTCTCACCTCGGAACAAAATGTCCACCTATATTCGTTTGTTTATTTATTAATAGGCTGACTTTCTCTACTAAAGACAAATTTGCCTTGTTTAGAGATCTAATTATAGAAAAAGGCATCAAGTAGCTCGATAAAAGATTACAAGCCTTAAAAGCGACCAGAAATGGTAATCTGTTAGAGAATCAGTGATAGGTTTTTGTGATCAGAAAATATAATTAAGTATAGAGCTGAGGGTGGGGTATGCATCCAGCTCCAAAACAATTGAATCGGCTCGTGCGAAAACCGCTAATGTCCATTTTCTCTAATTTTGAGAGAACTGCAAAAAACTGTAGGAGCCTTCAAACTACGGAATTAAAAAATGTTCAGTAGTTAATTATTACAGGAGAGGATTGTAGAAAAGGATCCCTAACAGTTTCCAGTTCCTCTTCTGTCTGGGATGGAATAATTAAAAAGAAAAGACTCTGGACATTAGCGGTTTTCGCATGATTCGTGAAAATCTCCGAGTTTTGGAGCCGTTTGATACTTTCAAAATTCATTCTAAAGATATTTAAACGGCAGATTATCATTCAAATAAAGTTTTAAAACTGAAATTCTTGACAATTGCGGCACTTAAAGCAAGTTTTATCAAGAAACTACCAGCAATAAACTGGACATTAGCGGTTTTCGCATGATTCGTGCATGGTCGGTTCTAAATAATCGAAAACGCATATTTTTCATTATGCCTTTCGGGTAAAGAAAGTTACCCCCTACGTATTTTGAGGCGCTGAATCCGAATATGACCTCCGTTTTTTTCCATCACTCTCCAATTTTCCGGAAAAGCCGATTTTACTCGGAAAAATTACCATTTTTGGGCATTTTCAGTGTTTTTCCGACTGTTAGCCCCTGCAGAGTGTAGGTAAAATTTTTCGTAGCTACGAGATTCAATTATACCGATGTCTTTTTAACTGATGAGTCTGGAAATGACCTTAATTTTTCCCGTTCACCTCTCAGTTTTCCGGGAAAGCAACCTTTTCCCGGGAAAATGAGCAAATCCAACGCCTATTTGTTGTGAATGCAATTTATTTTTATAAATTTTCCTGGACCCGTGGTAGTCTGATACTTATGTATTTTGAGCTGCTAAATCCGAATATGACCTCGATTTTTTTCTATCACACTTCAGATTTCCGGTAAAGCCGGGTTTTCCGAGCCTAAAATTGTGTATTGTAAAAAAAGCTATGCCGGATTGAAGTGTATTCAAAATTCATTGTGTAAATGTCCTCAATATGTGATACATCGATTCCTTTGTATTTTGATCTGTTGAATTCAAATATGATCTCAGATTTTTCCGATCACCCATCATTTTTCCGGAAAAGTCGATTTTCCTAGGAAAACGCTCTTTTCAGATATTTTTGCAATGATTTTTCTGCTCCAAGGACCTTCAGAAATCTTCCGAGATCCTCTTTTGGTCTCTCTTGCTGTATTAAGAGGCACTGAACTCGAATTTGACCTTCACTCATCTTTGACACCCCCTTCCGTTTTCTAGAAGGTCCGATTTTTCCGAGCCAAAAGCTTTTCCGGACTGTTCCCACTTCCAGGGAAATTCAAAACATTTTTCGCATGTGTGATACATCGATTCTCATGTAATTTGAGCTAAAAAACCCGAATATGACCTTAGAAATTCATTATCACCCACCGGAGAATTTCTGAAAGTACGTCGAGCAGAAAAATCATTGCAAAAATATCTGAAAAGAGCGTTTTCCTAGGAAAATCGACTTTTCCGGAAAAATGATGGGTGATCGGAAAAATCTGAGAGCATATTTGAATTAAACAGATCAAAATACAAAGGAATCGATGTATCACATATTGGAGACATTTAAACAATGAATTTTGAATACACTTCAATCCGGCATAACTTTTTTTACAATACACAATTTTAGGCTCGGAAAACTCGGCTTTACCGGAAATCTGAAGTGTGATAGAAAAAAATCGAGGTCATATTCGGATTTAGCAGCTCAAAATACATAAGTATCAGACTACCACGGGTCCAGGAAAATTTATAAAAATAAATTGCATTCACGACAAATATGCGTTGGATTTGCTCATTTTCCCGGGAAAAGGTTGCTTTCCCGGAAAACTGAGAGGTGAACGGGAAAAATTAAGGTCATTTCCGGACTCATCAGTTAAAAAGACATCGGTATGATTGAATCTCGTAGCTACGAAAAATTTTACCTACACTCTGCAGGGCTAACAGTCGGAAAAACACTGAAAATGCCCAAAAATGGTCATTTTTCCGAGTAAAATCGGCTTTTCCGGAAAATTGGAGGGTGATGGAAAAAAACGGAGGTCATATTCGGATTCAGCNGAACTCGAATTTGACCTTCACTCATCTTTGACACCCCCTTCCGTTTTCTAGAAGGTCCGATTTTTCCGAGCCAAAAGCTTTTCCGGACTGTTCCCACTTCCAGGGAAATTCAAAACATTTTTCGCATGTGTGATACATCGATTCTCATGTAATTTGAGCTAAAAAACCCGAATATGACCTTAGAAATTCATTATCACCCACCGGAGAATTTCTGAAAGTACGTCGAGCAGAAAAATCATTGCAAAAATATCTGAAAAGAGCGTTTTCCTAGGAAAATCGACTTTTCCGGAAAAATGATGGGTGATCGGAAAAATCTGAGATCATATTTGAATTCAACAGATCAAAATACAAAGGAATCGATGTATCACATATTGGAGACATTTACACAATGAATTTTGAATACACTTCAATCCGGCATAGCTTTTTTTACAATACACAATTTTAGGCTCGGAAAACTCGGCTTTACCGGAAATCTGAAGTGTGATAGAAAAAAATCGAGGTCATATTCGGATTTAGCAGCTCAAAGTACATAAGTATCAGACTACCACGGGTCCAGGAAAATTTATAAAAATAAATTGCATTCACGACAAATATGCGTTGGATTTGCTCATTTTCCCGCGAAAAGGTTGCTTTCCCGGAAAACTGAGAGGTGAACGGGAAAAATTAAGGTCATTTCCGGACTTATCAGTTAAAAAGACATCGGTATAATTGAATCTCGTAGCTACGAAAAATTTTACCTACACTCTGCAGGGGCTAACAGTCGGAAAAACACTGAAAATGCCCAAAAATGGTAATTTTTCCGAGTAAAATCGGCTTTTCCGGAAAATTGGAGGGTGATGGAAAAAAACGGAGGTCATATTCGGATTCAGCACCTTAAAATGCATAAAGATCACCTAATGTCGTCCAGGAGACGTTTTTTTTTTTGGATTGTTGTACAGTATAATGAGGCACATAACGAAAGATGGACATTAGCGGTTTTCGCATGATTCGGACCACGGCCCCCCCTGAAAAGGGCTTCAAACCTAAGGAACAAGCACTTTTCATCACATTACTGAGTGTGTCTGACCTCCGAGAGTATTTTAACCCAAAAATCTGAAAATTGAAAAAAATGGACATTAGCGGTTTTCGCACGAGCCGATTCAATTGTTCTTTTTGAAAAAAAGAGAGTGAGTTTAAAGCTTATACTTGCATAAATAACGACTGGGGGACTGGGTGTAAACATTTGTTTTAAAAGTTTGCTGTATAGAAAGATCGATTTATATCCTTCCATGTTGGAGATTCCCAGACTTTTCCTACAAATTCCTCGACTTCCCTGACTTTGACCCGTCACTGCAAATTCCCTGACTTTCCCAGTTTTCCAGACTGTCGGCAACCTTGAATCTCACAAAACTTCCTCTTGAGTCATTCTATGTTAAATCAGACCAAAAATTAGCACTTCTTGACCTAACCCCTTCAGAATTGAATGATACTTGGGAGTCTTACCATTTGGCTGTATCTCTTGTGTGCAACAGATCCATTCCGCTGTAATTGAAGAGTTAATATCAACAATGTACTTAATCATGCAACTGATGAAACAATTACTTACTTTTTTACCTGGGTGAAAAATAAACTTGGTGGGTAAAACACCTTTCTTCAGCTTTCCCTTGACTGGTGGTAAACCCAGCCTCTCAGAATTCATGAACTGCCAGTAGTTTTCCAAGTCCTTTTCTAGCTGGAGCAAAAGTTAGAGAATTTTTAGAAAACATTCAGAAACTGTTACACAAACCTTCATGTCATTCAATGACTCAAATTACAGATTTTGTACTGGTGGAAAATCTTTTAAATCGCAAGTCCCTGTGGCACTAAAGAGCTGCCTACTCATTTGTCAAAGCTCATCAAATAGTAGAAATGCTAGATTTGAACATGGACTAACTTAGTTAGTTTAAGCTGCAAACACATCAAGGCCAAACACATTTTCATTTGAAATAAACACTTAAAGTGAAACAGTCCACAAGATAATCAGTGAATGTTTCCAGTGATGCATGCTGTTTAATTTACAGTCAGTGTCTGCTATGGAATAGAGTCACTTTATACCCAGAGTTAAGATAACTCGATTATCAGCTGACTGGCAGCCGGCCTTGGCTGGCCATGGAGGCCGAAACGAGTGTACCCAAACGAACCATATTGAGGGATAAAGATCAGGAATCCTGCGATGTCTGTCACACAAAAACAACAACATCAACAAATTGATCAGTTAAAAAGAAAATGAGATTGGTTTGTGAATAATTTCTTAATCTATTTTCATTTTGGACCGATGGAAATAACAATTTACTCTTGAAAAACCACAATTAGGTAATATTTTCATTATTTTTGTTCACATTCGAGGTACCGCCATCTTGGTGCACTCGTTTCGGCCTCCATGAGCGAGAACCAATCAGAATTGGATTTTTTTTAGGCCACTTTCAGCCCAACCCTGGCCCAACCAAAAGTGAGTTGTCTTAACTCTGGGTATAAAGGGACTCTACTATGGAAGTTTAAGTTCCTTCAAAATTAAGAGGAGTAGCAATTAACCAACATAATCACTTACTGTAAAATGATCTTCACATATCACTTGCGAGCGCTTCCGAGACCTGGACTTACTCCCACAGAGTTTGATCCATTCATTGCGATCCTCACCTGAGGGCACAGAGAAAAATGCCTTCTTGTATGTTCTTTTATGCACTTTCTGATATATATTTCTATTCATACAACCAGACACAAAACACCAGCCTCCTTTCACGCTCATTGTGTGCAGGAATATTCACGTTTCTGGCACAGTCTGCAAAATTATATTTATTTGTTTTTTAACATCAAAATTTTACATGGAATACATAGAGAATTCCCAGATTCAACTCATGCGTAAAAAAAAAAAAAAAAAAAAAAAAAAAAATTGTCACCTTCCGGCCGAAGTATCACAAGCGCCATGAGACGTTTAAAAGTTTCTGCTGCCATTTTATTTTTATAACGTAAAATTGTTGGTTGAATCTGTCCCAAAATGTCACTGAATTTTGTTGGCATCACAAAGAAAATGCAGCGAAATTTTCGGACAGCTCCGTGGCACAAATTCTCTATAAAAAAAGAAAATGGCAGGGGATGTTTTTAAACATCGCATGGCATTTGTGATACTTCAGCCGGAAGGTGACAATGTATATTTGGATGTAATGTGATGCAAAACCATCGTGAGACATGCGTTTCCAAATTCCGTCCTTAGTGTTCAGGGTAAATTGTTTAAGTTGCTTAAGGATGTGAAAAATCTTCTTCACCAATTCTTCAAACAAACTTCATGGCTGGTTCTTTTTTTTTTTTTTTTTTTTTTTTCTTAAATTTGCTTACAAAGGAATAATTTACTCTTGATGTAAAGGGAAAACGGTTTTTGCACTCATCTGAAAATTTGGAATTCTGGAGATAGGTAGTGTCACACTTTGGTCATTGAAATAGTTAGCTGGTATAAGGGTTTTCTTTTTTGAACGGTGGAACCACCGATCGCCATTTTGGTGCGAAATTGCCCGCGATCAGTCGGAGTTTAAGAACGCACTTTCCACCAATGTAGACTAATGGATTTCTTCCTCTCTTCAAATTTTTATCTCAATGATACTGCAATAGTGAAAATATATACTCAATGTACCAGCATTAACTCCTTTACTGCAACAATGAAAGAAGGATGGAAAATAACACTAAAAATGCTTGAATATTACATAATTCAATTTATGGGCGACGGTGACAATGCAGAATAATCAGACTCAGAGGCAGCGGGGGTGCGAAATACCCACGTTTTCTCGTTTGTTGGTTTATTTTTGGCCTGAGATCCGGCTGAAGTAGGGTTAGATTGTCCAACGGTGGACCAGTGGATTAAAAGTACCGAAGAAATCTCCGGTGCTCCGAGCGGTAGATTTGTGGGCGCAAATCCACCGAGCAGAGGCTCCACCGGTCATGGCGTCAGCACCAACCAAAAAGTTAAAGAACGCAGTTTGATGACTGGTTGCACCGCCAGTCAATAAAAAAAACCCTTTTATATAACACGTAAGTAAGATGATCCTGATACAGGGTTATTCAAAAGTCATGCATCACTGGCCATAACTTTGGTCCTAATTAAGATATCCATTTGCGGTTTGATGTTTTCCTCATATTGAGAGGGAAACTTTTTTCGGTACTTTCCAGTTTTCGCCTCCCTCGGGGGGAAGGGGGCGGGTTTCAACTCAAAAATTTCAAATGGCCACCCCCCTCATGGCCAGTGGTGCGTGACTTTTGAATAACCCTGTATAATGATGATTGTGCAAAATTTTGTCAGCATGGAATGACAGTACTTAACAACTAATGTGTTACTCGGTAGAGATAGACCCATTTCTTATTTGGCCGACAAAGCAAGAGACAATTTCAACAATCCGTCCGCAGGGCATCATGGCTGATAACCTACAGGGTTTGTTCTGAATGAGGTCTAAATAAGACTAAGACTAAGATAGACTTGAATAGTTTGTTCGGGGCCAAATGTCTTTTACAAATGAACCAAGAGCATGCGTGCATGCAGGACGGATGCATGGTTGCGAGTAGTAAGGAATTTGGATCAATGAAAAGTACAAGAAACGAAAGTGGACTTACGTTGGATATGTCAGGACAGTAGCCGGGTTGTCTTTGTTATCTTATCAGTTGCAGTCCAGCAGAACGATTCGGATTCAGGTCCTTCCATCTTTCTATCTTTCCTCCCCTCCACGACTTCAGAAATACCAAATACCTATGCCCTAACCTCACTTTTTAGGAAAAGAGCGGAACCGGAATGAACCGGAAATGTAAACAAAACACAGTAAAGCCAGGTAAAGCGAGAACTAATGGCGCGAAAATTTAAAATGAGATTGTTCAGGAGAATCACACAGATTCTAGATTTCAATTCAATGTGCTAATGTGCTACAGAAATTCTTCTGTCAAGAGGCACAATAGAAGACGGATGCATCACAGGAAAATTGTTTTTTTGTTTGTTTATGATTTCAAACAAGTGCATAATGAAAAAGTAAAGCCTCCCCCTTAACCAACTCACTTGCTGCCATCGAATTTCCTGCTTTTATTGACAGCAGACACCCTGATAAAATACTTCTTTGATTGAACTTTCTTAGAATGCAAGTGTTAAGGTGTCCCAATGGTCTATTCCTCAAAAATTCTATTATTTGCTCACTATCATAAATGGAGCACTTTCAGACTGTACCTAGGTATATTTAAAAAAATTGATGATCACTATTATACTTATTTTTCCTTGGCTGATGATACCCTTTTGCAAAAATAAAATTGCTTCGTTTTGAAAATTCATTTTAAGCAAAAATTGAAAAGCTTGATATTCTTAGTTTCAAAATGCTGAAATTTTATTTGTGATACTAATTAAGTATCTTTGAGTTCTTGTTTGTGATGCCAAAATTTCTGCACACAATCGCAGCTTTTGAGTGTCAACTTATTGTTGGATTGTCAGTAAGGAGTGATAAAAACTATCTAGCATAGTAGCTTTCTAACAAATTACCATCTGCTGGTTTATTTGGAATCTTGACAGAACAATACGACGATGTAAGTTGGCAATCACATAACTCGTTTGCGGTGTCTGAAAATCTCTGCCTCTGTTTTATTTTTTTTAAAGGAGAACAAATTGACATCATTCTTTGAAGTTTTCGCAGAGTTTTCTTCGCACAGAGAAGAAAAATCACGGCAGTTTTAAAGAATTGCCGTGGAGTAGTTTTCCGTTTAAAAAATAAAGTATGACAGGAAGTCTGCGACGTCGCAAACCGAGTTATGTGATTGCCGAATTACACCGTCGAATAACGAACTAATCTAATGATGTACCGCCTTAAAGTTGCAAGTATTACTTAAAGGAATCTTTTTTTTTTTTTTTTTTTTTTTTTTTTTTTTAAAAAAAAAGGGAAAAAGAATTGTTCTTTTTTGAGAGACATCGTCAATTTAAAAATTCTATCATTATCAAGGTCTACCTAAAAATTCTAGAAGTCTCAAGAAATGAATTTGACCAGTTTCCTTTCTAATTCTGAAATTTATACAGGATTTATGGAATAAAGTGATCAAGGTGCAGTCGAGTTGACCTACATTTTCAATTTACATTGATGGCCGAACTGTAAACACATGCAGCTTTTGTTACATTGCTCAGAAAGACACTAACTCATGTTATTCAGCAGGCATACAACAAAAATAGTTTATTGTGATGAAAGATATGGATACGTCTACGTTGTTGCGATCCTATTGTGCTGAAAATATGGCAGGCAAATGATCAAATAAGGCATTCAGTCAAATGCCTTCGCCTAATTGCCGAACATTCTCACTCCGATTGAAATTCTGGCTACTCTCCTTATATTGAATGAAATGATTATTTGCTTTGTAAATAGGAATTAATTTTAACAATTTGCATTATGGTTTGGTTGCATAGTAATTTTTAGCCCAAAAATGAACAATCATTTCAAAAGATACAGTATTTTTTAGATTACTGAGTTTTCACCATTTTGAAAGTTAAAATTAGATGAGGAGCATTTTGAAAAGGAAAATACAATGATAGTGTGCAGTTCGATGAATTCTCAATTCTTGCTTTTAAAACTTGAAAATTTGGGAGCTCTTTGTAAAAGATACTAAGGTTTGTGAACTTTTGTTCCAAATTTGACTATTTACTAGTGTCTACCTAAGTTTTTGATAAAATGCATGATTTGAGTATTAGCCTGTGACATAAACATGCCAGAGATTTTCCAATCAGATTTCCTACATGAACATGCCAGAGATTTTCCAATCAGATTTCCTTCACCATTAAGTTAAGAGGGTTTTGGTATGGAGTGTCTTCTCAGCATACCATTACCACGGCTGAAGTGCATCATCCTCACCTAAAGTTGAGAGATGGTTTGCACATTTTTTAAAATGTCTATTTCTTCCATTCCTATGAAAAGTTTTCAATGAAAATTTGAAATGGAGTCTTTTTGTCTTCCTTTGACGGTATGAAAGGAATTTTGATGACATGTCTTGAGGTCCATAATTACAATGCTTGGTCTTCAAGAAATCTTCAAGCGAACTACAAGAAGTTCAGAAACTGAGGTCTTGACAATTTACAAAATTACGCATCCTGACTTACACTGTTGTGCCGTGGAAGAACGCCATATGAGCCTTCGGATAATGACGAATATCCTCTGATAAGATTATTGATGTATTATTACGAATTTATTGTAAAAATTGTGAATGTTTTTCTTCCATTTTATGAGTGTCATCTAAAATTTGATTTAGGTAAAAATCTAAAAATTTCAAGGAAAAATATTCATTTCATTTTCAAAACTAAATATTCTATCAAGGGAAATTTTGCAACATCTAAATGTTCGTACAGCGTTTTTTCTCAGCATGGCAGTACAGCTCTCCATTCATTCGAAATAGGGATTAAAAAAAAGTTAAATTTCTGAATAAAAATGCTTTGTATTCATTTTTCATAACTTTGATTAAACCAATGTAGGGTTTGTCTGGATACAGACAAGGAGTAGAAACTGCAAAATGTAAAGAAAAGTAAAACAATTCCTTACAGGCTTAAATTTAAATATTATATTAAAATTAATCGATAACAAAAAAAGAGGGCTGTGAAAAGATAAAATGAAAAACAAGCACGGGAGTTGATTAAATCACAAAAAAATTACTTCTGTTGTTTTGAGGAGACTTGATTTTCTGAAGTTCAAATGCAAGGATCCGGTGACTTGTGTTTGTTTCTTCGTAGAACTAACCACAGCAACAAACAGAAGTTTACTGGGTACAACGCTGCAAAAAACAAAAATAGAACGAATTAGAAAATCGAAGGATTAAGGCTGGTAATACCCAGAGTTGGCAAAGAATTTAGAGAATGAAATTCCCTGACATTTCTCTGTAACAGTTTGGTAAAATCCCCAAGCAATTGAAGGTGTGCTAGATGGTTAAAAAGACATAATTTGATATAGTTTTCAAGCAAATTTCATTGTTCGAAGCGTCAAACCCAATCTGGAGCAAATAAAGGTAACTTAACTTTTCTACAGTACTTTTGTAATTTCCCTGATATTTCCGGATTTTCCCTGACTTCTTTAAACTTCCTGAAATTTTCTGATATTAAAATCAGAGAAATAGAGAAAATCTTATTTTTTGCCTATTTTTCTGATGTAGCTAGGCTGGTTTCAATTACATCTGTCTGCTTGATTTTAACTTATTTTCAAATACAACTACAGAGTACTGAGTATCTCTACAATAGTTTCTGTAGATCCGTACGTACAATTTCAAAAATAAAGCAGACTGTAGAATTTGACCAAAGGTCCTAACTTAAAAAAGCTCAAGATTCAATCCCGATTGAAATTTACACTCGTTTGTCCCCATGCAAATCTACGATAGTCAATTAAACGTGTAACTTAATTGGTTTGACATGTATCATAAGTTTTGAACGTTTTTTAATTTATTTCCCCATCACCGTGGACCAACTTCAACAAAGATGCAAAGTTGTATTTTGGAAAAATAATTAGTTTTGAGTAGATTTGAATTCAACTGGGTACCTGGTTGTAAATTTACTTTTGTCAAACATTTGAAGTCAAGAAAAATTATTTTTGACGTGAAAAAGTAATTAAACTTTGTTCTCATTATCTCCTCTGGAGACATGCAACTTTGAACCCATAAAGACACCTTGAATTTTCTTGTCAAATTAAGCTTGAAAGCATATTTTGGGAGGGAAAAGTAGAACTGACAATTGCAAGGGGCAGGGAGGGGGAAACCTGGGGACACAGCTAGAGAATGGGGCAGTGAGGCACAGAGGTGGCTGGGTATGGAAACACTAGGGTAGAATCAAGTAAAAGTGATGCAATGGAGAGATGAAGCTGTATGCTGCATGTGGCTGAGCTGAATGAATCAGCTGCCACTGGTGATCAGATGGCTTGAAACAGGTTTGGTCAGCCTTGACTCACTGACAGAGGTCAATGATTTCTCTTTTATGTCTACTCAGTCAAATCTTAAGCCATAAAGAATACTCAACTTGACATACCACTTCTATTGGAATTTTGAAATGGAATTCCATCACTATACTAGCAAATAATGTACAATGCAATATACAGCAAATGACGCTGCAACTAATGTTGCTAATTATTGGAGCTCTCAGATCTAATTTTGATCTAATTTTTAATAAATTTTACAATGATCATGTTTTAAGTATGTCTGTAACTCCAGACAAAGGAGAAGAAGAAACCACTGTATTTGAGATTTTTTCCTCAAGTTGGGAAATATTAACTCTTTCGCCTTTTCACTAGTTCTTCTAAGCCAAGGTAACACAGACCACCAACTTTAAAATAAGCTGATAATCAAGTGGAAAGAGTGAAAACTCCCACTTTACAACACTAATTTCCAAATCCAATAATTTATTTTACATTTCGCATGAACTTAAGTATTTCCTAATTTTCCCAGGCCATGGTCACCATGAGCAAACTCTACCTGGATGTTACAACATGTCTTTGGTTACAACACAGTTTAATTAACCACAACAAACAATAAAAAACATCGATTCAGGCCATAGAATTCAAGATTCAGGGACTACTGCTTATAGAACAGATGCATAGTCCTTCATTCGTGAATTTTTAAAAACCATCAAGATTTCAGTATGATAATACAGCTACCATAGCCATAACAGAGTGTACCGATTTTTTAACGTCACATCTAACTACTTATCATCATTGCTATAGCAGATCCTGGCCATGCCACCAGCCAAAGCAAGAAGTCTTTTTCTTTTATGTGCCTCAGTCACGGTGTCCCCCCCCCCCTTATATTCTTGGATCCTGTTTCGCATATTTTCAGCAATTTGTAAATTAAGTATTTCTTTGTAGATAATTATTGATGGCGATATTATTTTTCTTGGGTAAGCGCCTGATGACCGGTTAATTTGAAATTAAGAAACCAAAAAACCCACTCCTAATAATGGATGTAAACAAAGATCATTGCGCAGTGTACAATCACTACACTGCCGTGCTACAGCAAAACGCTGTATGAACCTTCAGGCGTTGCCAAATTTCCTTCAATAAAACACAAATTCCTGGGTAAACTTGAGCAAATTCTTCTTCCAATTTTTCAGATAATTGTGCGCGCAACTTTACCTAAAGTTCCTGAAAATTTCGAGGAAAAGTATTCATAACGTTCCATAAGAATAAACATTTTATTGAAGGAAATTTAGCAACTCTTGAACGTTCATACGGCGTTCTATCTCAGCACGGCAGAACAGGAAGTTTGCTTGTATGGGTAAAAACAGAGCGCAAGCAAAATTGCAGTGATGTTATAGAATGTGATTACAACATAAAGTCTGTCTCTTCATCAGCTCCATGGCTCTCCTCTTGGGGGATGGGTTAACAAAGGAGGAGGAATGTTCCTGTTTCCTTACTACTGACTGATGAGTTTGAATGACGCGTTAATACAAAGCAGGCGAGATAAAATGCTGCACTTGACCAGGTGATTGAATCCAACATTCACAAATGCTCTAGATTCTTTGATCAAGTATTAAATTTAGCGTGGATCAGGATGGAATGGGTGGATCGCTCTTCCGCGGTTGCGTTCCAATGTGATCCTAACCTAATTCGAGAGAGTTTCCATCCTTAACAAATGAAAACAGTAACAAACCAAACCAACCACAAAGTTTGAATTTTTTTATCACTTGGAACGCTTAGGATCGGTCCTGATTGTTCAGGATTCTGTACCAGTGCGTTCCACTTCAATCCACCCTGTTACCTAATTTAAAAAAAAGCCCTGAAGAATGAGGTCAGTCAACAGGCACTGAATTTCCAATTGCGGGAGAAAAGAGCCGCATGATCTGCAAAATTCTAGGGACTGGCATCAAGATCATGCCAGCAAAAAATGTGAAAGAAGATCCTGCACACTGAAGAACTTTGAACAGAGAATTGAACAGTAGGATAGAAGAATGTGAACCTGACATGATATCCCCAAAGCATGTAATACCTCCTCACGTTCGTTGATAGCTGATTCAACAATGGTGTGCATGCACTCGATACCTACTAAGAGATGCTAACCTTAACCTAGACTGAATTCATACTACATGACACCTTACATTTGACTACCAAAAAATCACTATGCTAACTCCTAATACTGACGCCTTAATGGAAATGTTGCACTTCTACTACCAAACCTAGATGCTGACTCATACTACTGCCTGTTTCCTTCCTGCTACCTGTATTTCACCACACCATCCAACTTGGAGCATTATCCTTTGCGATGAATGAGGTTGTAGTCTTCAACCTCTAGGGAACAAACCAAAATATAGCCTGATGCAGAAAACTCTTGTAAAAGACATTCAACAACCACAGAAACATGTGCAAAACTCACCGCGTCAAAGTTTTCGATTAGTTCTGGAATATCGTCATCTTCTTCTACGGGTGGTTTCGGAACTGGTGCATTACTTGAGACACTAGTGGCTAGACGCTTCAGCTGTGTTAAACCTTCTGGTCCTAGTTGACTTAAAATATTCGGTAACATATCAGTAATTTGTTTAATTTCACCATGGCCATTTATGGCAATTGTGTTAGCGGGTAGAGATGCTTGTGCCTTAGGGTTATTGAAGTGAATCACCGTGCCATCGTCTTTTATCATGTTGACTTCTTCGATACCAGGAATGGCGTTAACGGCCAATTTCTTTAGTGAACTTTGTAGTTTCTTATCGTCAGCGGCGGTAGTGTGAACGACCTTCTTCTTTCTTCTTGGTGTGCCTTTCCCACCAATTCTGACTTGGGCTTGAAGTTTCTTCAGCTTGTCGGAATTCATGATGGAGGTTTAAATAAGGCAAAGAACTAGGGAGTTAATGTATAAAATGAAAAGGATAAGGATACTTATGATTACCACATTCCACAAAGTTCGAGTTGAAGTTAAAACTACAAACACGTGCTACAGTAATTCACGGAGAACACACAAAATGGCCCGAGCAATGATTATTTCGGAAAACATGAAGGCTGTGATCAGATATAGCAACTCTGAGACGAGTACACTGTTTGCATGTGAAAGAACTAAGCAAAACTAAATTGGATTTTTGAGTCATAAAAATCAGAATTTCGAGAATTAATACAAAATTATTCAAATTTAAGACAAATAACAGGTTAAATTTAGAGTTTGAGATTGTTGAATTATGAAAATTCTCATGTGAAGTTTCAAAACGCCATGGGTCTCTCTGGACATTTTGTTTTACGCGTTTGCCTGCATTGGAGCGACCATCTTTGCTTTGTTGCCGGTTTGCTAAATTATAAATTTATTTAACATAAGCAGACATACTAAATAAGGTAATTATCAGAGAAGATTTGGCAAACTCGATAGCGATTACCGCTCATGAAAGCGAGAGTAAGTGAAAACAATAATGATTATTGCAGCGTTTGCACTATTTTACACAATGTTTACATCGTAGTGTAATAAATTAAAGGAAATACATGGAGATAACCAAGGTGTAAGCATGTGCCTGCATTGATTACTATTGAGAGTTGCGAACAGACGCCGGCTCCTGGGCGAAGAGGTGGACGGGAAGTTGCACGTGAGAACGATGGTGGTTCGGTCTGAGCTAAAGAGTCAAAGAACGGGGGGGGGGGGGGGACTGTCACGTCGAAGGATTAGGTTGCGTTTTAGACGGACTGAAAAACGTCTAAGAATCCTTGACGCGGCGGAAAATTAAGTGGAGTTGTGGGAGAGCAAGAATTGAACGAAAAAGGTTTTGATTGGACCGAAAGATTTGTTATTGAATTTGGAAGAGAGTTACAGATTTACAAAGATTGAATAGTCACACTTAGAATAAATAATGCCTACGGAGAGAGAATGGCATAACGTAGTACTACGGGTCAAGATGGTAAAAGGACCATGAGAAATGGGCAACTCAAGCTTTTATAGGCTTGCTGACGTCACAGGTGGTGAGACAACAAGTCTACGTACGCTATTGGCTGGCTATAATCAGTGGAGCTATCAGCTGCAAGTTCGCAGTAATAAAAGTAATGGGTAATTTAAGGTGATGGCTGGGAGATAGGACTAAAAAAGAGGAAAGTGTACAAAATCCAGCCATCCCTAATGAGTGAACTGAATATGCATAGGAAATTTATAAGTTTAAGAAATGAACAAGTTGCTGGTATTTCAATACCTGTGACAGGGACGAATGGCGGGGAGGAGCGTCGTCGTTTTGAATTAAAAAGTGATAAGTCATCTGTGATTTTACTTATTTCTATCTGCGGGGAAAAGTAACAAAAGTATGCTTTGATGTTCAGGAAACAGGAGGAATCCGAAATCACCAGTTAAAATCTTCATACATTCTAGTCTATAAAGAAAAGTTAAAAATCAGCCGTCCGATGCTACGTGGTATCCCCCTTAACCCCTCCCCCCATCCCCTTGCCCGCTTTACGCTATTGTTCTTTCTACAAGTACTCTAGTTATCCCTGAATTTGTGTAATTCCACCTAATTGAAAACGCTAATTTGTGGGAACATAAGTAATACATAAATAATAATAATAATAATATTAATTAAAAAAAACTATTGTATTGGAGGGAGAGGGAGGGGAGAGAGGGAGAGAAGGAGGAGGGAGAAAGAGGAGGGGAAAAGGGAGAGAGAGAGGGGGGGGGGAAATAGTACATAGTAGTAATATGTCAGAATCAAATTAATATTAGCTCCAAAGCAACTATTGGCTACGAGGCACAGCGAAGTTAAAAATTAAAAATTTTGAGGAGGCAGGAAGCGGGCGCACAAATTTTGGGTTGAATGTGGGAAACAGAAAAAACCAATAAAAAATAATTCGATAAATACATCAAAATAAGCAGAAAAATATGACGAGGAAAATAATTAAAATGAATGAATATCGATAGCCAAAGTGTGAAACCCCGTATCTCTATTCCGGGGTTTTTAAATTTTCGCTCCTAATATATTTTTCCGACGAGAAACTTTATGGCTTGAAATTTTTACCAAATATTGGATTTTAGAACCTCAACTAAATTACGGCCTGACGTATTTCGAGGCTCATGCCAAATTTTGCACACCCGTCTGATTTCATCACTATTCGGTGAATTTTTTTCTAGAAGCATGGATAGTATGGTGCTGTGTTGTGCGGATATATGAGCACACCAGAGCCCATCGCAAAATTTAAACGCGGGTCATTTTGCCGAATGAGAGGCGAATTATTGACCGTATTTATACATCAGAGGGAACCATATCCATTCGTCAGTGGCGTGGCGTGAATGGACCACTAGATAAGGTACGAATTCAGTGGCGTAACGGGCGCCCCCGCAGACCCTGCTATGCAGGGGGGCCCAAGCGCCTAGGGGGCCCTCAGCCACCGGAATTTTTTTTTCTCTTCCTCTTTGATGCTTAGCTTCGGTTTCAAACTTTGGGCCTTTACTTACCGAGATGGGGCTTCTTCCTCTGATTTTTATTGTTAGCTCAGAGTTTTTCATACTTCTTTTGGACTGTTCCTAACTTTTTTTTTGCTGGAGGGCCACTGCCTTCCAATTTCCACTCAGTGATAACTAAATTTTTTTTTCTTTTTTTGTCACTTTTCGTATTTCGGGCTTTGGGAGGTACAATAATCTAAAGGCCCCCCAAGGCTCTTGGGGCCTTGATCCTTGGGCCTGGGCCCCTCTGTAGATCCTTGGGCCTGGGCTGGGCCCCCGCTACCCTTTTAGATCCTTGATCCTTTAGGGGTCCCATATAATCGGGTACGGGATCTGGGACGGTGAGGGGTGAGGCATTCTAAGTCCAAGTCCGTGATTTGAGATGCCTCGGGCCAAAAAATGGGATGGGGTGGGAGGGGGGATAATTTTGGAATTTTATCGACTTGAGGGGGGGGGGCTAGAAAAAATTTTGCAGGGGGGCCCAGCGGAAGTCCGTTACGCCACTGCNGTTCAAATTCCTCGGAACCAATGTGAAATAAAAACGTTAATATCTTCGTTAGGAGTTGGTTTCCGTAATTTTCGTTGTGTGAATCGTTTTCTACGTGAAATTCTGATTAAGAAACATGTATCAGATCGCTTAAATTCGTACCTTGTCTAGTGGTCCATTGCTATATATCGATTGTTATGCCATTTAAAACTATGGGGAAGGATCGATAAACAGGGTGTTCGCAGCGAACACCTTAATAATCGATTCTTTACCATAGGTTTAAATTGCATAACAATCGATATATCGCAATTCACGCCACGCCATGCCACTGCCATTCGTGACATGAGCCCTATATCGTGCGAGTATTCTCATAGGAAGCTCATATCAGAATGGATATAGATCTTCATTACTTAAACGCGTCCTATTATCAGTGCGTCGCGACGCGCGGCGCGCGGCGCACAGTGGATCGAGTCGATAGGAGAGGTCGGACAAAATTTGGAAACTTTGGAGGCTTAGCACTCCCTTTCCACAAAATGTTGAGGTTCCAAAAGCGGTTTCATTGGTTTTCTCGTGAAATTTTCTTGCTGAAACACCCCTTGAAATGTAAAATGTGACGAAATAAACGTCAAAATTTACAGTTATAGTTAGAAATTTCATGTCCGACCTCTCTCATTGACTCGATCCACTGTACGGCGGTGGGCCAACCGCGATGCCACACATATGATGATGATTTGGTTGACGCATGACGCATGACGATTAGGAAAGTGTTTCGCATGGTGCTGGGAGTTGAGAGATTAGCAGTCGCGGTAATTAGCGCTTGTTTGATTGCCATTGCTCTCATTTGGACTCTGACTCGTGTGACTGCCGACTGTTCACCGGAAAAATATTTCTCACCGATGAGACCTTTAGATTCGGCGGATTCAGCCACCTACCTGAGCGTAACCAGGGCCTCTCAGAGAGGGGTGGTAGCCCCCC